GTTTTTTGATGGGGGTTAGGGTTGGGTTTGGTTTTTTGGTTTGGGGAGGTTAGGATAGAGGTGTTTGATGGGTTAGGTTTTGGGGTTTGGTTAATTGGTTTGGTTTGGATAGAGGTGATTGATGGAGTTAGGTTTGGTTTGGTTAGGTTAAGGGTTTTGGGTTTGGTAGGAATTAGGTTAGGTTAAAGGGTTAAAGGTTTTTGGAAGCATTGGGCTTGGGAAAAGAAGATTTTAACCTTTGGTGTTTCCCGCATTTCATGCGTTGTCCTGGGGTTGGGGCAAAGGGGTTATGTTTACCCTGGGGGGAAAACCCCAAACCCATGGTGTTGGGGGGGAAAAGGGGGACCCACAATAGCTCCCCAGAGCGAGGAAAGTGGGTTTTTATTTTGGAAATCGAGTAAATATTTCTACCTTTAGTGTGTTTACCCAAAAAGAAAAAAAATGTTCGATTTTTTCGATAAAATTTTCAAAAATAATTTGGGTATATCCAAAAAGGAGTGTTCAAATAATTCTGGGTACTCAAAAGTGTTTTGGGGGGGTTCCAATTTTTTTAGGATTTGGTTCGGCTAGGTTAGGTTAGGTAAGGTTAAAATAGGTTAGGGGTTAAAGGGAGGTTTTGGGTTTGGGTTGGTTGGGTTTGGGTTTTTGGTTTTGGCAGGGTTTGGTTTTTGGTTTGGTTGGGGTTTTGGTTTAAAATTAGGGGTTTGGGGTTTAAGGGTTAGGCTAGTTTTTTTAGGTTAGGGCCCAGGTTAGGTTAGGTTTTTTGTTAGGTTAATTAGGTTAGGTTAGGTTTTTGGGTAGGTTAGGTTAATTTAGGGAAGGTTTGGTTTTGGGTAGGTTCGGTTTTTGGTTAGGTTAGGTTTGGGGAAAAATTTGGTTTTGGTTTTGGCTAAAGGGTTTTGGGTTTGGTTTGGCTAGGGTTGGTTAGGTAGGGTTAGGTTAAGTTTTGGGTTTGGTTAGGTTCGGCCCAGGTTTTTTAAAGTTTAAAGGGGAGGTTAGTTAGGGTAGGTTCGGTTTGGTTAGGGTTGGTTGGCTGGGGTTTGGATAAGTTAAAGGGTTTGGTTAGGTTTGGTTAGGGTTTGGTTAGGTTTTGGTTTTGGGGTTTGGGGTTTGGTTAGGTTTTTGGTTTTGGTTAGGTTAGGTTGGTTAGGGTAAGGTTTTTGGTTTTTGGTTTTGCTAGGGTTTGGGATGTGTGTGTGTGTTTTGTGTGTGTGTGTGTTTTTGTGTGTGGGATTTTGGGATGGGGGGTGATGGGGATGTGGGTGTTGTTGTCGAAATTTGTTACCCAAAAGACTTAAAATGGGTTGTTTTTGTGATTTTTTTTTAGATAAATGTGTCCCCTTTTTAATTTAAAGAAATAAAAGGGTTAAAACGAGAAAAAAAAGGGGGGTTTTGGGGGTTGTGACTTTTGATGGAAAATTTGATAAAACGGGGAAAAAATTGTGGGGGGGTGGGGTTTTGGGGGTTGTGGGATGTGGGGGTTGATTTAAATTTTTTGGTGATTTTGGTGGTGGGTTTTTAGTGTATTAGTGGTGTTTTTTGTATTCCCGTGGGGTTTTTTTGGGGAAACCCAAAAGGGTTTTTGGGAAATGTTTAAATGTTGTTTGGAAAAAGTTCAAAGGTGTTTAAAAGGGTTTTGGGTGTGTTCAAATGTTGTTTTTTTGAAGGTGATTTAAGGGGGTTTAAGGGTGGTTTTTTAAGGTGTTCAAGGTGTTTTTAGGTTATTCAAAGGTGTTTTGAGTGTGTTCAAATGATTATGAGGGGGTGTTTTGAATGGGGTTCAAAGGTTTTTTGAAAGGGGTTCAAAGGTGTTTTTGAAGGTGATAAGGGTTTTTTTAGTGTGTTCAAGGGTGTTTGAAGGTGTTTTTTAAGGGGGTTTTTTATTTTAATTCAGCTTGTTTTAGTTAATCCGGGGGTGTAATTGGGGGGTACTCAAATATTTTTTTTGGGAAAAGTTTTAAAGGTGTTCAAAAATGTTTTGAAGATTTTGAAGGGGTTTTTTATTGAATTCGCGGGGTTTTTTTAGTAGTATTCAGTGGTTTTAATTGGGGGTACCAAAAGGGGTTTTTGGAAGTGTTTCAGTTTTGTTTGGAAAAATTCCAAAAGGGGTTCAAAGGTTTTTGAGTGTGTTCAAATGTTGTTTTTTTGAAGGTGACAAGGGGTTAAGGGGGTTTTTTAAGGTGTTTTAAAGGGTTTTGAGGTTAAATTTAAAGGTGTTTTGAAGGTGTTCAAGGGTTGTTTAAAGTGATATTTAAAGGTGTTTTTTTTTGGTGTACAAAAGATTATGAGGTGTTTTTGGGGGTTTTTCAAAGTAAAGTGTTTGAGTTGTTTTTTTTACTTTTTTTTTTTTTTTTGAAAATTGTGTCCCCCTTTTAACTTTAAAAGAACAAAAGGGGAAAAAAAGAAGAAAATTTCCTAGTCTGGGGGGGATGAAAGGGTGGTTTGGGAAAAATTTTAAAGAAAATGTGTAAGTGCCGATAAATTAAGAGGGCAAAAACTTATTGGGAATACTCAAAAAGTGTTTTTTAAAAAGTTTTAAAGGTGTTTTTAGTTTTGTTCAAATTTTTGTTTTTTTAAGGGGTTTTTTAAAAAGGGGTTTTGAAGGTGTTCAAAGGGGGGTTTTGAAGGTGTTCAAAGGGTTTTTTTAGGGTTTTTCAAAGGTTTTTTTGATTGTGTTCAAATGATTTTGAGGTTGGTTTTTTAAGGTTTTTGAAGGGGTTAAGGGTTTTTTATGAAGGTGTTCTGGGAGTAAATTCCCCGAGGTGAATTTTTTGGGGGGGTTCCCAATGATGTTTTGGAAATACTTCAGTGGGTTTTTTGGAAATGTAAAAAAGGTATTTTTTTTGGGGTTTAAAAGGAATTTTTGAAAAGGGTTTTTAAAGGGTTTTAAGGTGGTTTTTGTGAGTATTCAAATGATTATGAGAGTGTTTTTTTGGGGGGGGTTCAAAGTAAAGTGGGTTTGGGTTTTTTTTTGTGATTTTTTTTGATGTATTGTGTCCCCCTTTAAAAAACTTTTTGAACTAAAAGGGTAAAAACGAGAAAAAATTTAGTTTGGGGGATGAGGGATGAGTTGTAATTTTAAAGAAATGTGTTTAAATGCAATAAAATTTGAGATGGGCAAATTATAAATTTTGGGGTACTCCCCAAAAAGTGTTTTTGGAAATGGTTTCAAAAGGTGTTTTTAGTGTGTTCAAAAGTTGTTTTTTAAGGGTTTTTCAAGGGTGTTTTGAAAAGGGGTTTTAAAAGGGGGGTTTTTTTAAAAATGTTCAAGGGGGTTTTGAAAGGGGTTCAAAGGTGTTTTTAGGTTATTCAAAAGGGGTTTTGAGGTGTTTTAAATGATTATGAGAGGCTTTGAAGGTGTTTTGAGGGGTTTTTGGGGGTTTATGTGAGTAATCAAAGGTGTAAAAAATTTTTATGAGAGTACTTATGAAAGGGGTTTTAAATGATGTGAAAAGGGAATTTTAAGGTGTTTTGGGAGTATTCCCGAGGGGATTTGGGGGGTGTTCGATGATTTTTTTGGAGTATTTTGTGTTTTTGGAAATGTATAAAAGGGTTTTTTTTTGTTTTTCCCAAAAGTTTATGAGAGTGTTTTGGAAGATGTTTAAGTAAAAATGGTATTTAACTTCGTAATATGGGAAAAATTTTGAGTAGTGAATTTAAAAGAAAGTGGGTGGTTTAAACGATTTTGGGGACTTTCTGGCATTTGTCCCCTTTTTAATTTAATTTAATTAAAAAGGGGTTTAAAAAGAGGGAAAAAATTGGGGGGTTATGGTGAAAATTTTTGAGGTGTTGGTTTGGAGTGTGAGGGTTTGGGGGGGGGGGGTAAAAGGGTTTGACAAAATTCAAAACCCGTGTGCTGGGGCAAACCCCTTTACTCATGACCGCCGAGTAAACCCTTTTTAGTTCATTTTACTTAAAGAAAAGGAAACTTTTAGTTCATTTAACTTAATGAAAAGGAAAACATGTTTTGGGCCTGTATTTTGCCCTGCCCCCAAAGGGGAGTTTTTTGAATGCTTTTACCGAGGGGGGGGGGATTCCAAAAAATTTGGGTCCCGGGGAAATTTGAAAAACCCCCTAGGGGGGAATCCAAAAAAAAATTGATCCAAGGGAATTTTTGAAAACCCCATAGGGGGGGAAACCAAAAAACTTGATCCGAGGGGGATGGGACTTTTGAAAACCCCCCTAGGGGGGGAAACCAAAAAAATTGATTGAGGGGATCATAAAAAATTTTAAAACCCCATAGGGGGGGGGGGGGAAACCAAAAAAATTTTCCCAGGAGATCAAAAGGGAAAATTTTAAACCCCTAGGGGGGGGGGAAACCAAAAAAATTGATCCGGGGGGGAGGGTTAAAAAGAATTTCGAAAACCCCCTAGGGGGGACCAAAAAAAATTGGGTCCGAGGAGATGGGGGAAATTTCGAAAACCCCCTAGGGAAGAAAACCCAAAAAAAAAATTGGGCCGGGGAAAATGGAGGAAAGAAAATGAAATTCAAAAAAATTCGGGAAACCCCCTAGGGGAAAATCCAAAAAACCTTGACCAAGGAGATCCCAAAGGGAAAAAAAAATTTGAGGGCGGGGGCCCAAACCCGGGCGACGTGGCCCCGAAGGGCCGAGAAGGCGGGGGGGGGGGTCGCGAAGGGCGCGGGCGGGGGCGCGGGCGGGGGCTCGGGGGGGGGGCGCGGGGGGGGCGCGCGGCCGAAAGGCGGGGGGGCACGAAGGGGGGGCGCGAAGGGGGGGGGGCGTGGCGGGGGGAATGGTTGGGGGGGTCAAGAATGAGGTCAGTTTCGTAGGGGAGTCACTGTCAAGACGGAAGTAAATTTGGAAACGCGTGGACTCAGTGCTGATCCGTAGACGGAAGGGAGTACTTAGAAGGCCTATCGGAAGGATGCCCCAGTGGAAGGCCCTAACCGGAGCGGATGCTGGGATAGGCCTAAACGGACAGGTGCCAGTGGACGGCTACTGGAAGGGGTCCAGAAGGTGTGACTGTTGGTCGGAGGCTTACAGGTGCGGCGGGCGTGGTATTGCTTTCTTGTTCGGGCGATTGGACTGAGCGTGGCCACGGTCTGGTCCAGTTGTTGACCTGGTGATTTTGGACCGTCCTGTGTGGGGATCTTCGTTGGACCGGTGGTGACAACGGTATTAATTTTTCTAACATCATGCGTCTAACCGGCATGTAAGCAGTAGGTGTAGAAGAAATGTTTCATGCGATTATTTTGTAGAGCGTTAAGAGAGCGATGTCTGTTGGGCCGCAAACTTAGGGGAGTGCGTCAGGTTTTGTCTCCTATACGTCCTGATAGTTTGACATGGGAGTCTCCGGAATGGATGTTGAAAGGCATAAAGTGGGTTTGTATCAGATTTGTCATACTCTTGGTTGTCCGGACAGTGAAATTGAGAGGTTGTAGTTTTAGCAGCATTTGAAGCTAAGTGGCAAGCCGGTTGTTTGGTGTGGAGCGTAGTTTTCCTATACCGGTTAGTTTCTTGTGTGTCCGGATTTAGGCATTGTAACGTGTATTAAGGATGTTTCAGTAATTGTGGTTGTGTTTGGTTGTGAGAGTAATAGTTAAGGTTGTTTTGGTGAGAGGTAATAGTAAGGTTGTGTTTGGTGGAGAGTAATAAGTAAGGTTGTGTTTGGTGTGAGGTAATAAGTAAGCTTGTGTTTGGTGTGAGAGTAATAAGTAAGGTGTGTTTGGTTTGAGAAGTAATAAGTAAGGTTGTGTTTGGTGTGAGAGTAATAAGTAAGGTTGTGTTTGGTGTGAGTAGTAATAAGTAAGGTTGTGTTTGGTGTGAGGAGTAATAAGTAAGTTGTGTTTGGTGTGATGAGTAATAAGTTAAGGTTGTGTTTGGTTGTGAGAGTAATAAGTAAGGTTGTGTTTGGTGTGAGAGTAATAAGTAAGGTTGTGTTTGGTGTGAGAGTAATAAGTAAGGTTGTGTTTGGTGTGAGAGTAATAAGTAAGGTTGTGTTTGGTGTGAGAGTAATAAGTAAGGTTGTGTTTGGTTGTGAGGTAATAAGTAAGGTTGTGTTTGGTGTGAGAGTAATAAGTAAGGTTGTGTTTGGTGTGAGAGTAATAAGTAAGGTTGTGTTTGGTGTGAGAGTAATAAGTAAGGTTGTGTTTGGTGTGAGAGTAATAAGTAAGGTTGTGTTTGGTGTGAGAGTAATAAGTAAGGTTGTGTTTGGTGTGAGAGTAATAAGTAAGGTTGTGTTTGGTTGTGAGAGTAATAAAGTAAGGTTGTGTTTGGTGTGAGAGTAATAAGTAAGGTTGTGTTTGGTGTGGAGAGTAATAAGTAAGGTTGTGTTTGGTGTGAGAGTAATAAGTAAGGTTGTGTTTTGGTGTGAGTAATAAGTAAGGTTGTGTTTGGTTTGAGAGTAATAAGTAAGGTTGTGTTTGGTGTGAGAGTAATAAGTAAGGTTGTGTTTGGTGTGAGAGTAATAAGTAAGGTTGTGTTTGGTGTGAGAGTAATAAGTAAGCTTTGTTTTGGTGTGAGAGTAATAAGTAAGGTTGTGTTTGGTTGTGAGAGTAATAAGTAAGGTTGTGTTTGGTGTGAGAGTAATAAGTAAGGTTGTGTTTGGTGTGAGAGTAATAAGTAAGGTTGTGTTTGGTGTGAGAGTAATAAGTAAGGTTGTGTTTGGTGTGAGAGTAATAAGTAAGGTTGTGTTTGGTGTGAGAGTAATAAGTAAGGTTGTGTTTGGTGTGAGAGTAATAAGTAAGGTTGTGTTTGGTGTGAGAGTAATAAGTAAGGTTGTGTTTGGTGTGAGAGTAATAAGTAAGGTTGTGTTTGGTGTGAGAGTAATAAGTAGGTTGTGTTTGGTGTGAGAGTAATAAGTAAGGTTGTGTTTGTGTTGAGAGTAATAAGTAAGGTTGTGTTTGGTGTGAGAGTAATAAGTAAGGTTGTGTTTTGGTGTGGAGTAATAAGTAAGGTTGTGTTTGGTGTGAGAGTAATAAGTAAGGTTGTGTTTGGTGTGAGAGTATTAAGTAAGGTTGTGTTTGTTGTGAGAGTAATAAGTAAGGTTGTGTTTGGTGTGAGAGTAATAAGTTAGGTTGTGTTTGGTGTGAGAGTAATAAGTAAGGTTGTGTTTGGTGTGAGAGTAATAAGTAAGGTTGTGTTTGGTGTGAGAGTAATAAGTAAGGTTGTGTTTGGTTGTGAGAGTATAAGTAAGGGTTGTGTTTGGTGTGAGAGAAATAAGTAAGGTTGTGTTTGGTGTGAGAGTAATAAGTAAGGTTGTGTTTGGTGGAGAGTATAAGTAAGGTTGTGTTTGGTTGTGAGAGTTAATAAGTAAGGTTGTGTTTGGTGTGAGAGTAATAAGTAAGGTTGTGTTTGGTGTGAGAGTAGTAATAAGTTAAGGTTGTGTTTGGGTGTGAGAGTAATAAGTTAGGTTGTGTTGTGGATGGAGTAATAAGTAAGGTTGTGTTTGGTGTGAGAGTAATAAGTGAGGTTGTGTTTGGTGTGAGAGTAATAAGTAAGGTTGTGTTTGGTGTGAGAGTAATAAGTAAGGTTGTGTTGGGTGTGAGATAATATGTGTGTGGGTGTGAGGTAATAAGTAAGGTTGTGTTTGGTGTGAGAGTAATAAGTAAGGTTGTGTTTGGTGTGAGAGTAATAAGTAAGGTTGTGTTTGGTGTGAGAGTAATAAGTAAGGTTGTGTTTGGTGTGAGAGTTTAAGGTTTGTGTTTGGTTGAAGTATTAGTAAGGTTGTGTTTGGTGTGAGGAGTAATAAGTAAGGTTTGTTTGGTGTGAGAGTAATAAGTAAGGTTGTGTTGGTGTGAGAGTATTAAGTAAGGTTGTGTTTGTTGTGAGAGTAATAGTAAGGTTGTGTTTGGTGTGAGAGTAATAAGTAAGGTTGTGTTTGTGTGTGAGAGTAATAAGTAAGGTTGTTTGGTGTGAGAGTAATAAGTAAGGTTGTGTTTGGTGTGTGAGAGTATTAAGTAAGGTTGTGTTTGGTGGTGAGAGTAATAAGTAAGGTTGTGTTTTGGTGGAGATTAGATAAGTAAGGGTTGTGTTTGGTGTGAGAGTAATAAGTAAGGTGTGTGTTTGGTGTGAGAGTAATAAGTAGGTTGTGTTTGGTGTGAGAGTAATAAGTAAGGTTGTGTTTGGTGTGAGAGTAATAAGTAAGGTTGTGTTTGGTGTGAGAGTAATAAGTAAGGTTGTGTTTGGTGTGTAGAGTATATAGTAAGGTTGTGTTTGGTGTGAGAGTAAAAGTAAGGTTGGTTTGGGTACGGGAAAGTGTAGGAAGGTTAAAATAGGGTTTATTAGATTGTTTATTATCCTTGGACTCGTAGTACAGTTTTCATGTGTCAGACCGTGACTTTTAAATCTCCATCAAACAAATGTACTATTGCTATATAGTATTGTAACCATTATGGGTTACAGGTCACGGTATAGTTTGGAATAAATTTATGAACTTCATATGTATATGTTGTGTAAATAAGAGTCAGTTATTATTTATTGGTTGTAACATGTCTTAACGAGATCAATAATTATTTCATTACCTAATGTTTTAATTAATGTGGATTGATTTGTCTAGTCACTTGACAGTGGACATAGTTTCACTTGTATGGAGTTTGAAGGATAATTTTGTATTGTATTATCATTGTCGTGTCAAGTCCACTTAGTTGGCAACTGTGTTTCCTATATTATGGTTATTGTTCACTGTATATGTGTAATGTTTCCTATATTATGGTTGTTGTTCACTGTATATGTATAATGTTTCCTATATTATGGTTGTTGTTCACTGTATTGTATAATGTTTCCTATATTAGGTTGTTGTTCACTGTATATGTATAATGTTTCCTATATTATGGTTGTTGTTCACTGTATATGTATAATGTTTCCTATATTATGGTTGTTGTTCACTGTATATGTATAATGTTTCCTATATTATGGTTGTTGTTCACTGTATATGTATAATGTCATTATTGCAGATGAGTTTAGTTTTAAATTTACTGGGCTCCTGAGTATTAGTTTGTTCTTATTCGTATTGTCAAAGCTAGATAAGTTTTCCCCGACCTATCTATCTATTATATAGATATCAGTTATCTTATCGTTTTATGTGTTATTTATTGTTTCATGTACTGTTTAAATAAAATATGTATGTTTGTGTATGTATGTATAAGTATATGTATGTGCGAATGTATATGTGTGTATATGTATATATGAATGTATAAGTGTGTATGTGTATGTATGTATATATATGTGAGTATGTATATGTATATGTGTGTGTATGTGTATGTATATGTACATATATGTAAGTGTGGATGATGTGCTTGTGTATATGTCCTACCTATCTATGTATTATATATATACCTGTTGATAGTTTGTTTTCTGTGTTAATTATTATTCCATGTACTGAAATGTTTTAATAAAATATTTAAAAAAAAAAAAAAAACCGTAACATACATTCCACAAGCCTATACTTTCGCTGTGCCTTCTAGCACGTGCCTAACTAGTATTACTTACAAATATAGATACAAAAATTTTAATCTAGAGAACTAATCCTTATCCACACATGCTTACATAATAGGTAATTACTTTAAATCTGATGCAGGAACACGTAACAAAAATGACAAAAATAACTCAGTTCTTCAAGGTACATAGTGAAAGGAATATCCTCTCAAGAAAAGTTTAAAATTCAATTGCAAGACCAGTACAAGCGAAACATAATACGCTACCAAAGGAAAATATACATATTATATAATTTATATATTTAAACTGCCATTTACACCTTCCCCATCAAGGGAACTAAGCTAAACTAATCTTTCACAACCTCTCATCTAGACCCACACGAGTACCTCCAATCACCCATCATTGTGCACCCAAGGAGGTGAGCCCGTTGAATACCCCTGAACCCCCCCCCTTTTACCAACCTACTCACCCCGGCAGTTAAAACCCCTTATAACGCCAATAAATTCCCTATTGTTAGGCCTCTATAACCCTCAGAAAAAACCTCATCCCACCTTTTCCCAAAAATGTCTCTATTGCGACACAAGGTTCGATAAAACGTCGCCGCCAAAGTCCTTCTCAGCACTTCCCACCCACCCTCCCCCTCATACCCACAAAACATATATGTAGTCCACGATTACATATGTTAAACCCTTACCACCCCTCATCCACACCACTCATATCAAGACTCAACGCTTGCAATATCGACACACCTTGACCCCCACCCTCACCACTACCTTACTCATCCAAACCCTGATGCACTCCAAGCCTTCACAAAAATAGACAATATGATACGCAGTCTCTTCCCCACTGCATCTGCCACACCCCCCACCCTCAATAACCCTCCTATCTCGGAGCATCGCTCCCGATGGCAAAATCCCATGCAGGAAACGATACATAACCTCACGCGGCCTAGGTCGTATCCTTAATTTACTAAATCTTCGCCATATTACATCCCATGCATACATGGGGTAGATCCCTTCATCCGGCGCCACTACATGTCTCTCTAACAATTTACATAAAGTTCCCACCTTTACTTTTCCCGGTTCCCTGGCTAACATTAAGGCGCGTAACACTGTTTCACATTCCTTCATTTCTGCCCCTCAATACCATTTCCTCAGGTGAGCATGTACCTTATCTAGCTCCCCCCTCCTCCATGCACATGCACTTATCACTTCCCTCTTAATAAACACACATTTCACTCGCTTTCTCAAGTCCAACAAACCCAACCCTCCCCTACATACCGGCAATGTCACTACCTCCCTTCGCAACCAGTTGCACTCTGAGCCCCACAAAAAATTTGAACACCATTCTAAGAATACTCGTGATCGCTGTTCCTGTTAATGGCATCACTGCCGAAACAAACCAGACTTTACTATATAGTAATACATTGATGACGATTGCACATTGCCTAAGGGTTAAATGGTGAGGTCGCAGCATTCCCAAACGTTGCTGCACCTGTTCCACCATCCTATTCGAATTGCTAATCCTAGCAGCACTCAGGTCAGCCTCATAAACGACACCACAGATTTTCATACTCCTGGTTCTCCGCTGCACAACATCACATCCCCAATCTAATCTCCCTGCCCACTCTCCCAGCCCCATTATCATTGACTTTTCCAGATTTACCTTCATCCCAGTAGCTCTCCCAAAATTGTGTACAACTTCCTCCAAAAGTCCTAACCGTGTCTCCTCACTCACCAAAATAGTTGTATCATCAACATAGCCCACCAAACCAGGCCAAGGCTTCTGCTCACCATCCACCCAACCCACTATTTCTTCGCCAAACCCCTGTCGTAGGAGAATATCCCTCAAAGCTTTTCTTTCCACCCTGTCATAAGCCCCTTGCCAATCCAATGCCACCAATGCCCCTCTTCCCCTTTCCATGTCCTCCAGGAACCCCTTTATGATCCCGTGGCCCTCGCCCATTGTCCTACCAGGCAAAACAAACTGAGACTCAAACACGACCCTCCCCACAACACATTTAAGCCGATTCCCAAGAATTTTCGCGAACAATTTATAATCAGCACAAAGCAACGAAATGGCTCGGTAATCCCGAAGGGTATTCTGCTGTTTACCCTTCGGGACCAGCACCACCACCACAGTTGCCTGTGATTCTCCCATCTTACCTCCTTCCTTCATGGTATTCATTAACTCTACTAGGAAACCCCTAAGCAGACCCCAGTGCTGTACATAAAATTCGCTTGGTAAACCATCGATCCCAGGTGCCTTTCCCTTCCTCATGTCCATAAGGGCTCTCCATATTTCCTCTCCCTCAATGACCCCACCCAGTGCCTCCCGATCACTCCTCCCCTGTTTGCATGGCACATACTCACATACCTGCCGAAGAACCTCTCCATCTACCCCACTACTTTTCCCATATTCCTCAAACCATCTATCTGCATATGCACTCATCCCCGTGGTTTCCCATAATATCTGTCCATCTCTAAACCCCCCCACCAAAGAAATGACTTGCAATCCCGGTATCGTAGTCGTTTGCTGTTGTACCTTCTGTCCTCGCAGCACACAAGCCGATGGCTTGTCGCCCCATAGTACTTCGTCCAACCCCGCCTGTGCACGTACCGCTGCAAAACGTTCTTCTTGCAAATCCCTTATCCTGCCCTTCAACATGTGTATATCCTCCACTGGGTCCACCCCGGCCACAGCCCCCCCCTCCTCGTAACAATCCCGTAATCTAGATTCTAAATAATTTGGCAAACCATACCGCAATTGATTAATGCGTTTACCCTCCCTCACATAGAATTGATGTATTCTTACCTTAGCCACACTATCCCACCATCCTACCACATCCTCCTCAGTCCTTCTGTCTGCACAGAGCTGTTCCCAAAATGCTGCAAAACCTTCCACTCCCTCCCTATCCCTCAAAACCATCGTGTTCAGTTTCCAATAACTTCCCTGCTTACGAGCCAAAGCATCCCACCCCACCTCCACTAATACCGCCCTATGATCGGAAGACACCATCTCAATAGTTTTAAAAGACTCTACCAAAACCCTCTGAGATAAATATAACCTGTCCAAACGAGCCGCATATCCCATTCTTATAAACGTATGTTCCACCTCCCAAGACCTCCCCGAAAGCATCAGTAACTGAAGGTCTCTAAGCAGGCCTCCCAAGACTGAGGAAAAATACCCCGCTCCTCTGGGTTCCAGTCTGCCCTCTTAACTACACAATTCCAATCCCCCCAACAATCCCCACCGACGGTAACGTGCGTAGGTAGTACACGTGCTCCTCCCACACAAAATCCATCTTCACTTTCACTTCACTTTCTGCTGGGGGCATACACACACACAAACGCCACTCTCTCTCCCATCCCCCCATCCTTCCACACGTAATACTCTCCCCCCTCCCCCCCTCTTTCCTGTGCAATACAAACGGGCTTGCCTCCCTGATCAACACACCCACTCCTCCTTTTAAGCGCTCAGACGGCAACACATAAGCCTGATACCCAGGCACCACTAATTCACGACCAAGATTAAAATTGTGCTCCTGCACAAAAGCTACGTCAACCTTGTACCTATTCAAAAACATCCTGAAGCACTCACGTTTAACACCATCACACAGACCATTAATATTTATTGTTACACACCTGAGGCTGGCTTAAGGTTTCCCTCCCCGCCTCATGTCATGACTCTTCCCTTTCAAACCATTTCCCTGGGCTTTGCCTTTGCCACATACTCCACCCTCCTTCCCAATATTCCCCCCCCCATTCTATTGTGGCCCTCTCGTAGAGTCACTCTGAGTACCGTAACCCCATGTCTTTTTTCCTGGCCTTTGCGCCGGCGTCAGAACATCATCCGAATCTGATGCAGCTGCCGTTTTCCTTGTAGCTCCTTCAGTTTCCATATCTGAGTCCTGGGAGCCAGCACAATGGACTTCCACCTCTACCACCCTTAATCCGCCTCCATGTCCTTCCATGGCACTCACACTGTCCATCACAGGTGCCACCTGATCCTCCCCCCTCCTGCACACACCTTCTGCCCTGTTCCCAGGTTCCTGCTCACTGTGACTCTCCACCTCCGTACACTGTAACATAGCCTGTATCACCGTCTCCAACTCCTCAATAGCTTTTACTTCTGTGCCCACCTGCACCTCTTCACTTGACAACTGTACTGTTGATGGGCCAGGTGATTCATGGATCTCCACTTCTTCTGATTCCACAGGAGCCATCACCTCTTCACTCCACAAGCGACCACGCCCTCCTCCTTGCCTCCGTTCTTCCTCAGGCATCGGTTTTTCATGGACAGGTGCTCTGCCCCTTGCCGGCCCAGGAGCCATATTCCGCTTGCCAGAGTCTGCCGCCATATGGTCATATTCGCCACACAGTCGGCATGTATGCCTCTGCCCAGCATACGCTACCATTACCTGGGTTCTAAACTCCTCGAGATATACATACGAGGGTATAGGATGCCTTAGCGTCATCTTGAGATTGAAAGAACCCTCAGGATAACCTGTGTAAGCTCCTTTTGCCCATTTACCAGGTTAGGCCAGATGTACAGTTCCATAACGCTCGAAAACATTGCATATATCCACTTCATCAGCCTCAAAAGGCACGTTTCTGAGCTTAACCCACGAATAATGTCGTGATACATCCGTCAACTTTACCCTCACTGCCGGTGTTACGTTAATGCTGACATCTTGATAACGATCCACCAACGCCTCGCATACTTGAGCAGTTGCACCTTTCACGATATTTATACACACGTTCAGTGCCACTCCATACAATCCTCGTTTCTCTGATGGCGTATGTCTCTCTCAATTTTGTAGGGCAATAAACACATCACTGGACGTAGGGCGTTAAAGCCACACTATGAAGTCAATGCCCACAGTATTCACCCTTCTGCGCTCACTGGGCGCCATGTTGTTGACTTGAGTAGCTCGTCTGGCGCCTAAAACACTCGTAGAGCAGGGTAACACAAAGCATGATCGCACTCTACCTCATCCAGGCAGCGATCAAAAGGAGGTAGCATTATAATTGATGGTGGCATTGTGATGAATGTGTTAATATGTCTCAGTATGTTTTATATTAAAATTCCTTTGTTTAAGCACATGTTTTTTTTAAGGTGAACTGGACAGTCAGAAATATTTTAGAAGAAGAAGAGTGGATTTCTTTTATTGTTTTTTTATTCGTTGTAAATATGTACATCAACGGATTTAGATTAGTTAGTGGGTTTTTGGTTAAATTTATATGTTTGTTACGATAATCATATTGTAGTAGGAATACTGGCTTATGTAGATTGAAACTTATGATAATGGTGTAATGCTTTCTCTTTCCCTACGAGCCCGTGAGGCGGGGACTGCTCGGCGCACCTAAAACCCGCAATGGACACCACCCGAATAGGTTATTCCACGCGACCACCAAACGCAGCTCGGAAGCCTTGCGCCTGTCACTTATATGGTTGGAGTGTCTCGAGACTTAGAGAATCCCCCTGGGCGGAGGAACGTACCTCTGTCTCTCCTGTGCGCTGCACCCAAATGGAGATGGACCCCGTCCTGATGCATTCACCCCCCTATAAGACATAACTGTTTTTACCCACTTTCATGACGTAGGCGCCACCCGCACCACGCGCCCAGCGCTCTCTACTCACCCAACATTGGAAAAGCATCCCCCGGGCCGGGAGAATACGACCGTGAAAAATAAAAAAAAAAAAAAAAAATGCTTCTTGATTACAAGACTGTCTTATTATAACAAGGTGGTTAATGTTAATGGAAAAGCAATTTATTTTTGGGAAAAAATTTTTAATGTATTCTCATAAAGAGAGGGATGTATCAATAAAACCTGTGCTGATTAGGGTAGTGTTTGCATATGAGGTTTCTAAATTTCATGTAGGTCCATTCTTATCTATAATTCCTTTCTTGGTGTTCAGAGCAGAAAGGAATTTGAAAAGAAAAAATAATGAAGGGTTAATTGTACAATGTGCAGATATCAATTCCGAGTAATTAGAGATACATTGCTTTAATTTGTTGAGATTTTTTTTTTTTTATATTTTTATTTATAAACATTTACAGTACAAGGTGGAAAATTATATTAAAAGGTTACAACAAATGGTTTAAATCACAAATTAGCAATTCACCCTTACAAAAATTGATTACAACAGACAAATGTGTTCTGACACCCTAATACCAACCACACATATACACCCAGTTATACCAGAGTTAATATACCTCGTAAAGGGCTTAAACACAGTCTCGCTCACTGAACGCTGTGCTGAGCGGTGTCAGCTGTCTACCTCAGTCCCGACACCTGTGGGGAGCTTTGAGACGACAACAACTAATGGCGATTGGTTTCGAAAAGTGTTAAATACTGTGTGTTGACCTCAAAAAGTGCACACTCCAGGCACATCGATTATATCGTGTTTGTGCCGATGATTTTTTATTTTTTTTTTCCCCAATTCACGCGTTGTATTTGGCATCAAGCGTGAATCCCTGTGTGCGTTGCCTTAAATGGTCTATCCCGGATTATTCGTCAAGTTTTGTGATACCAAAGACCTTCGAGCAAGATTGTCAACCAGTTTATAAGGATGTTAGCAAGCAAGTATCCCAGCAGTCACAGTTTAGGTTGCACGACGTTTCAAATACTATATGTGCGGTAACGTGTGCGAAACGTGCCTTTTGAGGCTAACGAAAATTTGACATACGTGGACGCCTTCAAAATACTATGGGACGATCCCCAGGTTACTACGGTGTCGGTGGTCTGATGGCCACTTTGCTGGTTTACAAGAAAGGGTCCTTTCAGTTTTAAAATGTCCTTCGCAACCAATACCTTAAGTACCATAAAACCTAGAGGAGTTCCGTACCCAGGTGTATGTACGTATCCTGGACAGAGGACGAACTTGTAGGCTCTGCGGCGCTTGGACCACATTGCTTGCACAATGCGTTAAGCTTCAGCCTGCCCCTCAGGACGTGGTCGTCGTCAGGATGGTGAGGCTCCTCGTTGGAATCTGGCAGATGAAGTAGTCAAGGACTTACTGCGCTTGAAATCGTGGAGTGATGAGGTGATCGGGCCATTGCTCGTGGAGTCATCACTGCGTGGCCTCTACCTGGTACTGTCAAACCACGATGTGGTAGTAGATACATGGTGGACGTGAGAGCCTCTGCATAGAGAGGGATGCTGACATGGAAGCTACTTTGTATCGACATTGAGCGACCTTTTAGCTTCGCAGGAGTATGATTCTGTGCCGTGTGTGCCTGCGTTGGAGTGTTCAGATGAGGAGAGAACACAGTTAAAGGATGTCGATCAGTAAGTGAGGTAGAAGGTCCGAGAGCTCATACTGTTGCGTTAGGAAGTTCACAGGAGAAACATTAAGGATGATAAGCTGAGGATGCTGTTTCTAGGAAGCATGCGGCTACCCCACCTGACTCCGACGATGTCTTGACCCCTGGTCGGAAGTCACGGGTGGGGCGTCGCGTGGTTCCAGGACAGCGAGTAATATAACAGAGAATGTACACGGTAAAGGTGGCGCCTTAGGCGTTAGTCAACGTAAAGGGGAAAAGGGTGTGGTGGTCTCGAGAAAGCCACCATTAGCAAGTTAGGTGTTACCATAAATGTTAAATGGTATGATAATAACAGAAGGCAAAGGCAGGTTCATGAGTGTTGCATCGCTTTGCAGTAGAACGTATGTTTCGTTCAAGAACATATCATTAACATTAAAATGTATAAAAATACCAGAAGATTGTTAGGTAAGACACATATGGCAACAGTGAGGCTATCATTATTTCTAAACGTTTCGCCTACACAGTAGGCTTCTTCGTCGAGTACAGAAAAAGTTGATAGAAGCAGAAGAAGAGGACTTGAAGGACGATGTAATCAGTCCATCACCTTAATGTTTTGAGGTGGTCAGTCCCTCAGTCTGGAGAAGAGCATTGTTCAAGTTTGAAACAATATGGAGTAGAAGGTGGACAGGTGGAGCCTTTTATAGGCCAGGAGGTGAGACCAGGTCCACTAGTAGAACGCTGATGTTGGCGATGTCAGGTCCTTCTCAATGCAGCCGGACTTCACTAGTAGAGGTAGTCGAAGTTGTTCAGGTACTGTACCAAGATCCTTGTTGTTGCAGTGTTCTGAGGGGGACTGACCACCTCAAAAACTTTAAGAGTGATGGACTGATTACATCGTCTTCAAGTCTCTTTTTTCTTTTGCTTCTATCAAAAAACTTTTCTGTACTCGACTGAAAGAAGCCTACTGTGTAGGCGATACGTTAGAAATTAAGATACTAACTGTTGCATATGTGTCTTACCTTAACAACATAACCAATAAAGTGGAAGTTCGTTTGCGATAGATGGGTTATGTTATTTATGTGGTCACTCTCGAGTGTTTGAAAGGTAGTGGTGGCTGTGTTAATAAAAGCGACCAAGCCCGTTGTGATGAAACATTGGGAGGAAGGGGGGTTGGGGGGTGGGGGGGTCGCGTGGTACGCGTCATAAGTGAGTGTGGTACTCAACGAGTTGGTTTTGTAGGGGTTTATGGGACCAGCTGAACATGATGTTAATATTAAAAAATACTTTTGTTAACCGATGTTCTTGTGTACTATTTGAGGATCCCTCTGGCCTGATATAACATTAGTTGGTGGCGACTGGGGAACTGTGTGGCTGCGCTGTATAAAGACGTAGAACCGAGGGAAGCGGGTTATTGTTCGATTATTTTGGGTGATTTGTTGGTCTGGGGCTGGGGTTGGTGGATGTAAGTGGAAGCAGTGACTTAGGGATTGAGCACACTTTCGTGCGTTAAGGACTATTGCTGCGCGCTTAGACAGGGTATATGTGTCTCGGCGCGTAGGATTTATTTGTAACCCAAAGTGCGTGGGTTAGATGTGTATTTCTCCGACCATCGGCGTGTTCTCGTAAGAGCTCGACTGGAGAGGTCTCCCGGACTCGTTTTAAAGGATATCTGGAAGTTTAATACTCGTTTACTTCAAAGTGATGAAGATAGGTCACTCCTCACGCACTATGGAGTTCTAGGTGTAGACTCCTTGGAAAGTTTAGTGATTTAGTGCGACAATGGGACGAGGTTATGAAGCCTCGCATTAGGATTTTTATGTACATTGGCGGTAAGGAGGCCTCTCGATTGGAGTATGGATTTTTGAGGTGCCTGGAGGGTTCTTTACAGCACTGTTATGCGCAAGGGGAGGTATCTGGAATTTACCCGTGGACGAGATGACAATCTAAAGGAAAAA